TATCTATCTCGGTCTCATCATTATATATTTCAGTCTCATCATTATCTATCTATCTATCTATTACTTGTCATCTCAACTTAAAAGGTAACATATATAATTGGGTAGTCTTTTTTACAACAGAGCATTTACTTAAATATTTGTATCTATAAAAAGGATGTATAAACATAAAAATGTTTTAATATATATATATATATATGTACACTTACATGTATGTATATATAAAAACAACTATATATATATATATATATATATATATATATATATATATATATATGGGAAAAGAGCAGAGATTTGCTTTTAAGTTACATGAAAATCATTTTAATCAAAAAAAAAGCATGTGTCGCCAGTTCAAATTGTTTATGTTATGATCACTTAAAATATAATAATAATTTTATATATATAAATATATGTATAATTTATATATATGTATATCAATATATATATATATATATATATATATATATATATATATATATATATATAAAAGGTGTACATTGAAGTCAACAGTCAGAGTCGACAGACTGTTTCATGCTAAACGCAATTATCAGGTGAAAGCATGAAACAGTCTTTCGCCTCTCTGGGTGTTAACTTCAATGTTCACATTCTCTATGTCTGATATTGAGTACTTTATTTCAGAAATTGATATATATATATATATATATATATATATATATATATATATATATATATATATATATATATATATCAATTTGGATCAAAAACAGATCTAATATGAATCAGAATCCGACAAAATGTCAGGATAATGAACAAATCTAAACCCTTTATCAAACTATCGAAATAGGTTTGATAAATATTCCAGATTTTTTGTTTATCATGTCAAATAAAACACCTACAGTAAAATGGAAGTTAATAAGAAAAGCTAGAATATGTAGGTCATTAAATGACCCATGTCCTTTGTGCATACATGAGAAACTATATATTACTAAGTTTATAAAAAATAAAAATTTACTGAATCAGAGAAATGAAATAGCTATTTTATGCTGTCATTTTCAAAAAGTTTCCTTAAATATTTAAAAATAAATTTAAAAAGTGCGACCAGGTAATATACATACTTATATTTGATATGAAAAAATAATTTTATATACTGTAAGTAATTCTATTATATTTACTTGTTAAAAAAAATAGTCTATTAAAATAACAGTGAAAATATTTTAAAGTTGTATTTAAAATTGTAGTTAAAACGAATTCTAACCTAAACATCTTTTAAAATTGTAGTTAAATAAAACTTATTCTAACCTAAACACCTCTCTCAAAGTACTACCGGCACTTAAATGAATCCAATAAAACACCTACAGTAAAATGAAATTATGATGAAAAGCTCGAAGATGTAGACCATTAAATGACCCACGTCCTTTGTACATGCATTAGAAACTATATATTACTGAATTTATAAAAAATAAAGTTTACTAAATCAGAGAAATTAATTAGCTAATTTTGCCGTAATTGTCATAAATTTTACTTAAATAATATATAAATATAAAATTTTTAAATATTGTGACCTGGTAATATACATACTTATACTTGATATGGAAAAATAATTTTACTTACTGTAAATAATTCTAATACATTTACTTATTTTCAAAAGAAATATAGTCTATTAAAATTAACAGTGAAAATATTTTAAAGTTGTATTTAAAATTGTAGTTAACTAAAACGAATTCTAACCTAAACATCTTTTAAACATCTTTTAAAATTGTAGTTAAATAAAACGTATTCTAACCTAAACACACCTCTCAAAGTACTACAAGCACTTAAAAGAATCCAATAAAACACTTACAGTAAAATGAAATTAATATGAAAAGCTAGAAGATGTAAGCCATTGAATGACCCATGTCCTTTGTACTTACATGAGAAACTATATATTACTGGATTTATATAAAATATATAAAAAATAAAAGTTTACTAAATCAGAGAAATTAATTAGCTATTTTTGCCGTCATTGTCAAAAATTTTACTTAAATAATATTTAAATATAAATTATAAAAAAATTGTGACCTAGTAATATACATACTTATAATTGATGTGAAATAATTTTACACACTGTAAGTGATTCTAATACATTTACTTGTTTTAAAAGAAATATAATATATTAAAAATTAAAAGGAAAATTTTTCTAAATCGTAGTTAAATAAAACGTATTTTAACCTAAACACCACACAAAAATCTTTAAATATGCAAATAGAAAAAATGCCGTAAAAATTTTTGCCGTTAACAATAAAATTTTTAAAAAATCCAGAAGACATGCATTTAACGGATATCAGAATTCATTGAAAAATACATCCCTACCCCTACCAAAACGTAACTAATAACGGATACATCAAAATACAGAGACAATGCACACCCAAACATCCCTTGTCTGGTTGAATAGATTTCTCTGTATCCCTGGAAAAATGAATTATGATTTCTGCCGTGCGTTTAAAACCCAGTAAATTTAAAAATAAGTTACTCCAAAATTCGCTTGAGGATGAAATGGAACTAA